ATGATGCGTGAACTTATGTTTTAAACCCTAACTCTTTTTCTAGTTTTTTCCATGACAATTTGCAGGGCTGACTCTACTGGAACTCTGGAAATTCAGTTCATGGACTTAGACAAGAGTTTTTGCCACTTTTTGTTGGATTCTCTAGACATCTAGATGTAAATCTATATTTGAAGGCAGCAACTTTTTAGTCATGGAGACCATACACAAAGGAAAATATCTGTTGATGGAAAGTTTAGTAAAAAGGAACTACGACACATGGTCTTCCAAGGCTTTTCTCAGTCGAAAAGAACATGGACTCCACCCCCTTATGGTGTAGTTTGTGTTGATGTAGATGGATCTATTCAGAGAGAGCGTGCAGCATGCGGTGGTGTTCTTCGCAACAACTGAAGAGATTGGATTATAGGCTTTCAACAAGACTTGGGATACTCCTCAGTCACTGAGGCTGAACTCAATGCAATAAAATCTGGTTTAATAGTGTCCAGGCTTCTCGATTTGACCAAGATTTAGATTTTTTTCAGATTCAATGGATGCTATAAACTTGATTAGAAGAGATATGCTGGGTACTCATCCTTTAGGAGCCCTACTAGCTGATATCCGTGACGTGCTCTTCGGGGATTGGGAGGTTGAAGTTTTTCACACTAGACGTGAGAATATAATGTGTGCTGATTTAATGGCAAAGAATAGTTTTCATGGCTCGCCTGGTCTTATCCTGGTTCCTACGGTAACTCCTCAATGCTTGGACAGATTTTGGGTGGACAAGAATTTAGTGACCTGAACCTGAACTTCACTAGTTTGTACTGGTCTTTAACTCAAGCTTTTAGCTTGCCTTTATTTACCAAAAAAAAAAAATTATCGATATATAGTCAGTCATTTCCAAATTCATATTTAATTCCTTTAGTTTGACTTTTACTTCATCAGATCCTAATCTAATTCCAATTTTAGACAGATCAGAATATTAATCCTAAAGGGCGAAGTGTTGTTTCTCTTTTTTTGCACAGAAGAACTCATTCTGATTACATGTTAACTATTTGTTTTAACGTGAAACAAATTATCTAGATAATTTTGGAAACGTAGGAACTACACATATATTACAGGAACCAAAGCAAACACAAATTTCTCCATTATTCAAGGTTAGGTTACACATACATTACATGAAAATAAAGACCCCAAGCTTATTCGGGGGATCAAGTCCATGCATCCACTATAGCTAGTTGATGCCTCCATTCTCATGAGACACACAGCAAACTAAAGGTCAAAAGAGAAACTTGAAACCCTAAAACATCACAATGACCATGTCCTGATAAAACAAGACACAAACTTATTACTTCGTGCAGCTACCCTAGAGTTACTACTTATATTACTAAGGCAGGAACGTCACAAACATGCAGATCTCTCTCTACTCGTTTTGCTGGTTTCTGGTTCTGAACTTGGACTCGTCAATGGAGATGCCTTCTTCTTCAGCTCGCTCTCCTCCCGACCTGTCCATGGTGCTCAGTCCTCCTTTGCGTCCCATCTCCTGGAACCCTTCTGTCCCCAGCTGCTCCTTCCTCGTCTGCCCTCCGCGGTGCCTCCCTTCAATTCAATGTCAAACCCTACTCAGTTAATATTACAGCATATATAACACATAATATTCATTTATAAGTAAAACTACTGTTAAAAAGAAACATTGGAGAGATATATATGCCTTCAGCTAGGTGTTCCTGAGCCTCCAGGCTCTTGCCGCCGGTGCCGCCCGGGACGACGGTCTCTCCTTGCTTGGCCCTCTGGTCAAGCTCAGCTCGCTCTTGCCGTGACGACATTCCTTTCTTTTTCTTGCTGTTTTGAACGCGAGAAATGACTACTAATGTAATTGACGATATTCGATGTTCTGAGACGATGACGCACCTTAAGGAAGGGTGCGGCATTTATAGTGGAGATGATAGTGGCATGCGCAAGTGCTTATGATGTGATGCCACGTGGTGGAAACCACACGGAGGCAGTGGAGGAACGCCACGCAAATGGCTTTCGTCGCTTGAAACCGCAGAGAATGACACGTAAGACATCAAAGCACATATTAATTCCTGTTGTGTTATGTGGACTCACCTTTCGCCATTTAGTTTAATTATAAAGCCTTTCAGAGTGTGAGGTAAACAGAGGAAGGATTAGCCTGCGAGTGACAGCAGGTTATTAGAAAACAGTAGAAGCGACGATGCAATGACACGTCTAATGTGGACGCGGCTAAAGCAGAATAGAGACACGCAGGTTCCAGCGACGTTCAAAAGGACACGTCCAATGTGGTTTTTTTTTTTTTTAATAAGTCCAATGTGGTAACTTGAATCGGTCACGGTGGCATTTAGTTCAATTGGAAAATTCAGCATCAAGTCAACGTACACAGCAACTCAATCCCTTAATTGGAATGGAGTGGATGTTCTCTGGAGGAATGGACGGAAACTACCAGCTGCACAAAGAGTCAAGACGTTCATGTGGCTACTATTTAAGGGCAAGCTTCTTGCCAATGCTGAACGACACAAAAGAAATATGACACCTGACCAAACTTGCTCACTTTGTAACGTGCCATAAGAAACCATTGACCATGTTTTTAGGAGCTGTAACTAATTAGCTGCCGTAGTTTGGAAGAAAGTATTGTCGCTTGATATGTGTACTGAGTTCTATGACAAAAGTATTAATGCTTGGTTAACAGATATCATGAATAATCACCTTATTGATACTTCTTGAAAAATTGGTTCGTGCATTTTGTGCTGGAAATTATGGGAAGCTAGAAATCTGCGTATCTTTGCTAACGAGACGGCCACCCCTGATCGCATCCTTAATCAAGCTAGAGCTTTAGTTGATCTTACTGTTAGGACCTTTTCTACTTGTAAATTGCCAATGTAATATCTTTCCTGCTTGCTTGCACAGTTTATTGATCCTCCGTACTTTGATTTGTTAAGTTATTGAATTCCCCTTTTGGTCAAATAAAACAGTTGACGAATTCCCCTTTTACTCCGATCCTTTGTTTTTTTTTTTTTTTGCCTGGTTACTTGGTGTCTGTTTTTCACAAAACTTTTAAATTTACATGATGCGTGAAGGGCAGGACTAGTCGGACAAGATTTGGCCCAATTTTTTAATGAGACTGGGCCAAAATGTAACGCGGCTTGTCAAATTATTTATATTAAAAACTCTAAAAAGCTAAGTAGATGAGGGACTATTACTTTGCAACACGCATGCCTCAAACAAGCATGTCTGACAAATGGTGGAATAAAGCCTAATAAGGATGCAGGGTATTATGTTTTGCTATACGACCCCACAGTGAATTGTCAATTGCCTTCGGCAAAACTAGTTTCTTAAAATTTAAAATAAAATTAGTTTAAGTTTTCTTGGGTGAATTAAAAAATATGTTTAAGTTAATTAAATGTACTAAAATCTAAATTTGACCCAAGCTCAAGCCCAATTATTTTGGCTAAAATAGTAATTTTAGTCCAAGACCACCTGAGTCTTCTAGAAATGAAGTGATTGTAAATAATATTAAAAATTTATGAATAGGCTCAAAAAATTTTAAGATCAAATGTAGGGATTTATAAAAGTTTCTTTACTGTGAGCAAGCCTGAATGAGCTTAACCCAATTTTTTTTATTATTAGTAAAATAAAATTAAAATAGGATAAAAATTAAAAATATTAATTTTTGACATAAAATTGAAAAATAAAATAAAATAATTTTTAACAATTCAAGTATTCGGACAAGCCCCAAAGGGCTAAGGTGTTAGGACCTAACTTGGTTATATAAATTTTTTATATGTTTGAATATTTTTAATATTAACTTGAATAAGTCCCGCAACTTAAATTATCAACTCTGGTCATAAAAGGACTTGGTCAAGGAATGTACGTCTTTGGGAATAGGAGAAACTGGAGAAATCTAGGAAAAACTAAAGGTATGAAAGAAATGTGGAGCATGGATCCATGGGGGAAAAAAACTATCACTTTGTGTATGAAAGAAAAGGCAAGTCATACTTATGAAACCTCATTACTTGACAAAACCAAGCACTTCCTCATTTAGCAAATTCAACATTGTCCTCTTAGAGCAACACATATCCAGTAGATTGCAATAAATTTCTAGCATTTAATAGAGCACTAGCTTCTAAGAGAATAGTAGCCATATCACTCCAGTGCTTTCCTTTTAGTTTTCGTCTTATATTTCTTTTATATTATTTTTAATATCATGTCTACTCTTGTTATGCAATTCTCTCATTTTTCTTCTTTTTTATTTCTTCATTTCTTCTATTTTCAACCACTTGCATTCAGAAAAATTGTGATAAAAGATTTTGGGAATTCGTTATTTGATTTAAAAGGCAGACACATCATATGTTTGAGAACCTATTCCTCTTACATGCTCGTGCACGGCAAGTAATTACAAATTTTAACTTGTCGACCTTTTGATTTCCACATCTCATCAGGGAGAATGAATGGAAAAACCACTATAAAAAGTTAAGGACTTTTTTCAAGCCAAAAAAAAAAAAATTTAAGGGCCTTTTTGAAGATGTGTTATATATATGTGTGTGTATCATTTAAAATTTTTTTATAATTAATAACAAATAATATATTGTATTATACAAAAACTCTTATAAATTAGCTTATTCATGAATAACACAATTCATTTATGAGTTGCTATAAAAGACACGGAGTTATGATGTTATAAAGACCAAATTTATTTTCTAAAAATTAACAGAATAAGTTTAAATAAATTATAAAGTATAAATTAAATTTTGATTTCCTGGCCAACTAGTTTACGTGTCACGTGCAGGTGGGATACTATGGCTATTCCTGTAAATTACTAGCACGTGATGCTCTAAAGAGTGGGATGAAGGAAGGCGTGAGCGTTTCATATTGGCGTAATAAACTTGTGGGAATCCCGGGATGGGTATAAAACGTTTAATACGTCTCCCAGGTCCCAACTTCTCTCTAGCAATAAGCCCTAACCAAAACGCAAAGCACTTCATTTCATTTTACTTTTAACAATGCCAATCTTCGACTTCTTCTCTCTCTTCCCCCTCCTCCTTTATAAGAAGCAGAGCTCTTCAACGTACCCTTCAAGAAGCACCTAGGAGAGACAAAGCCAGACCTTGTCAATGAGGTAGTGTTCTCTGTTCTGCATTTACAAAACCATGGCACAAGTTTGATCTTGTTGTTTTTCTTGTCTTGAACAAGGGAATTGAATAAACCTCGTGTATACTTGTTTCATGTTCCTCTGCTTTTTACCACTTCTTTTCACACTAATTTTTCTCTGTTCTTCCTTCCTGTTAACCTTTTGGAGATTGCACCTAAGAGGCTAAAATTGTGTTTTTATTCATGACAATAACTTGGCTTGCAATGATAAGTGATCATGCCCAACATTTTCCCCGGTTGATTTCTTCGTGCTCTGCTTTTAATGCTCTCTTCTCTCACCGATAGGCATAAAATGAAATTGCTCTATTTTTACTTGTGTTGAACCGAACGTGGAGTGTTAGATCCTTTCTTTCTAAAATTTCTTCTCAACAAATATGCTCAGGCAGCAAGTGGTCAAACTCTTCAAGGAATTGCGAGAGATCTTGGACAAATTCTCAACGCTGTTAATGGCTTTACTTGCGGCCTGGAACACAACTGACACAGGAGCGAAAGCGAACCCTTCGTTCAAAAGCCAGCACGATAAACTCAAGATATGTCTGGTCTTGATCATTGTTCTTTACTATCTAATGCTGGTGATCGGAACAATTCTTGTTCGGCCACCTCCTCACAGCACTCGCCTTCTTCCCATCCTGACCTCCATCGCAGTTCTGCTCGTAAGTTCGGCTTCAGTTTTAGGTTTGGCTGTCATTTAAAATCCCCCCATTTCCTTCATCACCGTGGGCTTGTGGCTTTTTATGATGATATTCGCATTGATGGCGTCAAGTTAGTTGTTATCACCAAGAGATGTTTCCTTTGATTTACTTTGCATTAATTGAAAAGGTCGAGAATTGGGTTGAGTCAGCTCGGAGGAGCATGTTCTTCGGCTAGCAGGCTCATCCAAGTTATTATAATTGTTGTTGTTGTTGTTCATTAACTCTGCGTCGTGTTTGCTTGAGCTTTTCCTTGTCCCTGAACTAGTATTACTTGATTGGTGGGAATTATCACTGGCTTATATACATTTTATGTCTCTTTTTAGTTTTAAATGTGGAATTTTTATTTCCCAACATTGTTAACTTTCTCCAGTTTCGGTTACATCGATTTGCCCGGCCATTTGTGAGGCATGATTGGATAGATGCTAGAGTCCGTAATGAGGTTCAGCTTAGCAGGTTACCGATTTTAACTCGCTTTTAAAGGGGCGTGAATTTTGGAAATTGGTGTATTTTTTTATTAATAAAAATTTTGGGTTTCGGGCTAAATATATTTCAATTTAGGCTTGGTCAGAATTTTTTTCAAGCGGTTAAATAAGTTCAGAATAAATAAAATTTTCTAAACTCCTATATTTGACTGTAAAATTTTTGAGGTGCTAAATTATCAGTTTTAATTTGAGTTATGAAAAGCATGCTCAAAGTGCGTGTTTAGTAATCAGTAAACATCGCAACACTTTAAATAAGTCCAGAGTTGCCATTCTGGCCACGTGGATTTTTTTTTATCCTTTAAAAAATTGCCAAGTGGCAATGAGCTGGCAATGAAAGTTAAAATAACAATCAACTAATGGTTAATGGCAAGGTAAAATAACAATTAACTAATGGTTAACACTGATGGCAAGGCATTTTTGTATCTTTTTTGAAAATTCTGGAATGACTCTGCTCCAAAAAAAAAATTAAAATGTCAGATGCCTCTCACAAAAAAAGATTCTAAATATTTTTGCATTTTAACCATTTTTTTTATTAAAAGACTGATGTCATAAAGAGAGCCATTTATAGAAGGCTTAAGGTTTGTGCTATGTCCCATTCCAAAAAATGAACAAAATTGAATTTTTATTTTATATTTTATCCCAACTAATTAGAAGTGGAATGGAACTAGATTGAGATGTTTGGTAAAGCAAGCAAAACATGAAAATCATATCTAGATAACAAAATTTATTAAATTATATAATTTGTTAAGTTGAAAATAAAAATAACATGCATACATTAATTTAATTATTGAATTAAAACAACTACAATTTAAAGTAAAAAATACAATCATAATAATTAGTCAAGACTTGAAATCAAGTACACCACAACCACAAAATGACACCTAAGCTATATGTACTATAACATTAATAAATCATTGAATTACGCAACTTAAGTAAGTAGGCAGCGGTTATGTAAAAAGAAAATAAAATGAACAAGGGAAAATTTTGCCTCTTTGGTTTCTGTTTAAATTTTTTGTTTTTAAAAAATTATTTTGCAATACAGTTTTTAAAATTATTTTTCAAAACAAAACAAAAAAATATATTTGGTTATAATAATTCAAAAACAATTTTATAATTAAAAAATCAATCAATAATGATGGTTACTAGTGGTTAATGGTGGCAGAAACTTATGATAATTGTTTGTCAATATAACTGTAGCTTTCAATAATCATATATATTGTGTTTTAAAAACAAAAAAAAATGAAATGAAAACAGCTTCAAAATTTTATATTTTTTGTTTTAAAAAAACAAAAACTATTTTTGTTAATTATTTGGTTTTTGTTGAAAACAATTAAATTCAAAAAGCTCATCTAAACAATTTTTTTATTTTTTGTTTTTAAAAAAAACTATTTTTGTTAATTATTTGATTTTTATAATTTTAACTCAATTGTAACTTAATCTTTAAACTTTAACACAATTAGTGTAACTCAGTTCCCATACTTTTAATAATAAAAAATATTGGTTCGTGCATTTTAGAAGAGAAAGATTAAAATTTTTAATAATTTAAAATATTAATAATCTATAAATTTTAAAATAATTTAAATATTTATAATTTTATTTTCTAAAATATAGGGTCCAAATTTTTAAATAACTAAAACTACAAGGATTGGGGTTGTACAGAATTAAAATTCAAAAACTAAGTTACAATCAAATCAAAAGCATAAGATTTGAATTGTAATGAGTTAAAATTTAAAGATTAAATTATAAATGAGTCAAAGCAATAATAACTAAATGATTAATTTTCTGTATAAATAAAAAAAATATATCACTACTACAAAAATTTGGATATAAGATGCCAAATAAATGATGGTTAAAAAAATATCATATAAAGATGAGCCGGGTGATAATTAGAAAATAAATAAAAAATATTTGAAATATCCGTCATTTATTATTTTAAAATAAATTATGGGTGTTTTAAAACCCATCATATAAAATTTTAAATCTAGTTTTTTAAAAAATTAAAAAAATAAATATCAAACAATTGTAGTTTAAAGTCTTCACAATAAATGATGGGTGTTTAAAACACCTGTCATTTATTTGAAAATAAATTATAAGCATTTAAACACCTATCATTTATTTCCTTATAACTATATATGATAGGGATTTAAAAGCCTATTATTTATGATTTTTTTAATGCTCTATTTCTTCTTTCTTTTTCTTTTTCAACCCGCTCCAATAGTTTTCTCTCTTTTTTTCCATTACCTTACTTAGTTTGTTCGCCCATATTTTAGCATGATTTTGTTGTTGTTTATCTAGATCTGCCCATTCCATTTGAAGCTCTGGCTAATCTGTCATTTTCATTGTCTGTTCATTTAGATTTAGAATGAAGCTTGTCATCCATTTGCTTAGATCTAAAACGAAACTTGTCATACATTCAGGAGGTGAAGTACAAGGATTTAATAATACTTACTGGCTATATAATCTTCACAATTTTTATGAGTCAAGGACCATAAAAAAAAGAAGGCAACTTTAATTTGGTTGCCTCTTTTCTTCAAGATTTATCTCGTGTTCTCATCTCCCAAGCTACCAAATATCAACAAGTGCTGTTCAATTATCATTTTCTTGGATGAATAATTAGAACTGATGAATTTATTCGTAATTAATAAGATATTTATTATTTAATTAAGTTAGTTTTCTTTGATTTTTTGCATATAGAATGTGAACGAGTACTTTACAACTAAGCAATAATTTAATAAATTTAATTTCAAACTTATTTTTACATTTCGTGAAACTTCTTAGTAGTTATTATAATCTTTTTCCTAATTTTAACGAGTTATATTTTTTGTTTCATTTTGAATTGATTTCAATCTATGTTCAATTAGTATTGTTATTGTTTGAAAATATTATTATTGTTGTTTGAATATAGATTTTGCATGACTGTTACAGGGGCTACTATAAAAACAGCCCCCTATATACAAAAAAAAAGTAAAAAAATGACAGTTATTTAAATAATTATAATTTTTTTAAAATAAATAACCGTCATATATTATGCCCATATATGATGGTTTTTTACAATAATCATCATATATTTTTTATTCGTTCAAAATGATTATAATGAGATAATCCTTATATGATGGGAATATTTAACCATCTTATAAAATCAAGTATATATGATGGAGATATAACCGTCATATAGAGAGGAAGAATTTAAATGATAGACCTATAAATAAAAGTTGTTAACCATCATTTATTAGTAAAAATAATGTCATATATACCTTTTTTTTTGTAGTAATGTATATATTTTGACTTTAACTAAACACATAAAGCATTAAGTATTAATACAATAAAACAAAAAATAATAATATATTCGAAATAAAATCCCATGTCCCATATGTAAAATCCCATCTTTTTTTTTCCAAGCTAAAACAAACTCATATCAGCATGATAAGGATGAAAATGGACTCACTGGGGCAGTTACAAGCAAAACATCCTCAGCTAAGGACATCTACTTTCCAACAAAATGACATTATTATGAGTTTCATATTAAAAAACTTTATTAAAAAAAAAGAATTGATGTTTATAGGTTCAAGAAACTCTCTTATTCCAATAAAATAGTTTTTAGAATAAGCTCTCTTTTGGAATTGCAGGTAACAAATATCACATCTAAAATGAAAATAAAAGAGCTATTTATAGCAATACCAGATCCTTATTCTTCATCTATTAATCTTCTCTTGAAAAAGCTGCTCAAGGCTTCATTTGGTAATGTTGGTTCGAGGGGAAGTTTCAGTTTTATAAACGGAGGGCGAGAGTCATCCAAACAAGTATTAAAGCACATTTGAGTCTGCAAATAATTGTCTCAAGTCTCTTAAGAATCAAACATGTTCTAAGAATCACATGTGAAGTACTCTGCACCCAAACTTCAAGAACCATCTGGCATGAACTCTGATCCTTGAGGCAAGGGGTTCTGAGTTCCATACCTAAGTGGCCCAAATAGGAGGGATTTAAAAAAGCATTTGGTATGCGCGCGCGGGGATTGATAAATGTAGGTGTTGCATGTTGTGTGCCAGGCATATGAGTGTTACAAGTGCATCTCCCTTTCTTATGATGAAAGGTTAGGGTAGGATAGGGGGGGGGATTATCTTAGCTTATTCCCTTTAATTTTTCTAAAAAGATAGATTCAACAGTGACAGTCAGGCTCATAAGCATAGTGCCGTGGTAGCATTATGCACTCCTCTAAAAGAAGGAGAATGCAAGTTCTACTGGATGACTATGCCTCTTTATGTTTGCGGTGTGCATGAGTTTTTTCTACATGAAGGAACCTTGTGATGAGTAGTTCTGTTTCTTCAAAAAAAAAAAAAAAGAGTGGCTCATAATTTACTTTATGATAACTAGAGACTTCAAATATAATTTTCTTTTTAAAAAAACAATAAAAATCAGTATCATAAATCACACGTACATCATAAACTTGCTGTTCTATTCCCTATATAATATAATTCATTTCAAATGTTGTAGGAACTTTTTGAAGTAGTAATGACTACTTTAAAACGTCATGTTATTATGGAAAAGATGAAATTATATTTTTTCAAGATATAACTAAGCATTTTAAAAATAATCAATAATAAATTATTTTGGATGTGTAAATCTAAATTTTAATTTTTGGGATTCTTATTTATCACTAGTATTATGTCTCTAATTACATATTTTTATGAGTGCCCAAAGATATACTATCTCTAGTTTTGAATATTTTTTGAGAGACACTTTTAGGTCCAAATTATAAAAAATAAAGAACTTACATCTGATAAGTTGATTACATTAATCTAATTATATTCTTCACTAAATTTAAAGTAC